GAGAAATTGTTAAAAAGGATTAGATTTAAGGATTTGCACATAATCAAAAGGTATGTCATCAAAGCTCAAGATCAAGGCAGCAAAGACACTTGACTTAAAACTAGTTTTTTGATCAATACATGATCTTCCCCACTAGATTTTAGCTAAAATTGTGTAGGCAAGTGCTAAAATGAAGGGAAGGCTCTAAAGCCACAACTATAACAATCCCTGTATCTTTTGCTATCACAAACAGGCATATACCTGTCCCATGTATTCCAAATATTAAGAACAAAAAGTCTGCAGGCAAATACCACAAGATGGGTGGTCTTTTAAACCCATTCCAGCAAAAATTTTTGCACATGACGATGCTTATTTATTCTGATGCAATCAAATCTAAAATTCAAATGATCCTAATGCACAAAATACCAGGAATCACAAAATTTTGGCTTGAAAGGCATTTCCAGGGGGGTAACTTAGTGATGCGTGGCTATTTATTCCCAGTTGACCAATCAAGAAGCAAAGCATTATTCAATTAAGAGTTAGTTGCTTTTCTAACATGGATAAAGGGTAAAGAATGTTTTAGATCATGTTCCCCAGACAGAAGTACAATTAAATGAAGATATGAGCGCAAACGATAAACTGGTATGGAAAATATACTATATGGTTTATTTAGCAATTTAAGCTTGAAATCCATTATGTGTGGAGTTGGAAAGCTACCAATGAATAGAGATGTTTCACAGACCTTTCTGAAGCAGATGTATTAGTGTTTCATCCGAATAGAGCAAAACTGCAAAAAAAAAAAAAAAAGGCCTGCCAAAAAAGATCAAAACCGCTGGCTGATTATGAGGAAATTAGGTTGCCTAATGATGGTGTGAGTCAGGCTTATGCTCCTCATCAGTCAGATTTTCAGTGGCTTCTATCCGTATGAATTTCATGAATTTCAGACTGACAATGAACTCCCAGAGGATAGGGATTGAACTATAATGCTGCAAAGTTGTGCAACATAATGTTGTTTGTTAATGAAGTAATGAACTGTTATGTAAATTTTCTTGGCATGCGACCTATAAACCATTTAAATCAGATAGCCCCATTTCCTCCGGGGCGCTAAAGCAAATTCCAAGTTCTGGAAACAGTCCGATGAATGTTCTTGAAGCACTGGGGACTCTTGCAGACATATGCTTTAAACCTTCCTAAAACTGTGTGAAATAAGAACAGTAAGTTTGTATAGAATTCTTTTTCTAGTTACCTTCAAATGCAATGATTATATCAGAGGATACTTGATGTAGATTATACCATAGAATACCAACAAAGATTTGCAATCAAGCTGGTTCACTTATTCTTTCTAGTGGATGGACAACATCAGTTTTGTATGTGATTGTCAGCTCTGAAGCACAATTCCTTGTAACCTTTTCTTTAAGGTAAGTACTCAAGCCTTGCTGTTCTAAGAACATACATGAAGAAAATGTCTTCTAAGCTTAGCCAATTGCCATCTGAGACAACTCACCCCTTTCACCGAATCAGAGGAAAAGAAAGGAACATTAATTCATTAAGAATCTAACATGGGGGGTTTTGAAGTAAACAAGTTGGAATAAATAAATTGGAAAAAGAGTTCAGTAAAATATTTATTGCAACCTAGATAAATGACAGATCAAATGAGAGCATCCAGTCTCAACTCTTTCGTTTTCTAGCTCGAGGCATTATTCGAAATCAGGACAAGAGAGTTATATCAAATACTCTTTCACAGCGTTTGGGACCTGTATCCCAATTCTGAAGCATGTGACCTTGAAATGTGGGTAGAAAAGTATCCTAGTCCTAGCTTCTTCAGAGTTGTACAATATTTTAGATGTGATACCAGAGCATTTCTATGGTAAATAGTTGCTCCTTCCCATGGTGATAATTTTTCATCTTCCATTTCAATTATCTCCTCATCACTCCAATAAAAACTCTGCATGCTCTCACCACAAAGCACATCACTATACTGAAAACCTGACCTTAAAGAGCTCTGGAGTAGTGCAGTGACCTATTTGGTAAACGATTCTCATTCATCATTTTTTTCAAATGACTGATCATTTGAAGGAATTTTGAAGGAGTAAAATAGAGTCTAGGCTACGGAATTAATCGTTTTTCAACTTTCAAGTAATATAAAACTGACGTTGCATCCAGGGCACAGCGGCTGTTGAAGAGTAGAGCAGCATTTTGATAACAAAATGTTTTCTGGGCGGGCTTCAAATTCTCTTCCAGAAACAAAATGTAAAATCGGATCAAAAGAAAGATGAGTGATTATCGGTGATGAATCAAACCCTCCAATAGCATCTGCATAAAAAGAGTTTATATTTCAGAAATTAAACAAGAGAAACAAATTGGAAGTACTAATACCTATTACAGCATGCAACAACTATACTTAGTGACAGAAACAGAAAAAGCAAATCCAGGGAGGAAATCATGGAATGAATCTGTGCTTTGAGCATCATCACTTTTACCTTTTCAAAAGTCAAACTTTTAAAACAATGATAACACTCATGCTCCCTTAGGAGAAAGATTGAATGTTTTGAGTGAAATTATGTGGTCTCACCACTGGAACGCTATACTGTGCAGTTGTCTGCATACCTAGAGCTCCATTAGAGAAACCATACTAACTTGGTACCAAATCCATGCAGTTCGAATTGACATTGAAGAAAGAAAAGGAGTTGTTGTAATGAATCCTCATCCAGCTGACCCTTTGCTGCGTCTTCTATAGATTTGTAAGCTCTTGAGAAGCTGAACCTAGTTGTTTTCACTCGGTAAGCCACGTAAGTAGTGGATACGTCCCCCACCGATTTCTCATTCTCTTTGAGTGTTTTCGTTAGTACTCCCCGTCACAAAATAAGAGTCCTGTTTTTTGAACTACTTTAGTACAACTTGACTCTTATCTTGGGACGGAGGGACTACAATTTTGTCTAGCTTCAGCATTTCCTTACATTGGACCTCTGATGCTAACTCTATTTTCTCTTTCCAGCACTTTCACATCTTTTAGCCCTACAGAGATTCTCTCATATTATTATGCTCTAGACAATCCAACTCAGTAGTTTCATTCATGCCGATTGCCAGTTGGCCTACATGCTACTAGCACATTGTCTTTCATTAGTGACCGAAAAGACCTAATGTTTCGATATCTCAAAACATCCTTTCAACCGTTTAACTCCCACTTCTTCAGATGCTATTAACATCATAGACATATGATACAGAATCAGCCAAAAGTTCTAACCAACTAACCTACCAAATAGGGATCTAAATCCATCAAACCCTCCAACACCTCCTAACTCTCCATTATATCAACAAACTACATCAAGATCAACACAAAAGAGGAGAGTAACTAAAGCATATGAAGAAAGAATGAATTAGACCCAAGTATAAACAAATTCGGTCACAATAATACAAGCATTCCAGCAGGCTAGAAATGCTCGATCTGTGGCAATTGAGCAAAAACAGGCAAAAGTTCCAATTAATTCGAAAATTATGACATATACAAAGGTTAAAATTAGAAAGAAATCGATAGCAACATTCTTCAAACTCTATCACACAATTCCGAAATATGAAGTCAAAACAAAACTAAAAGCTCCGAAGAAAACTCATTCATCTTTACCAGCATCGGAAATTTTTTACCTGAAATATCAACGACGATAAAGAACGGCGAATTAATTCCTTGATGTTGGAAGTAGCAAAAAACCGCAGATATTTCCACACAAAACAGAGCTTTGAATTCCGTGAGATGAATTGAACGGAAAATCTAGCGTGAATTTCTTCGCTGACGGGCTTGCAATTGAAGTGAAACCAAACAAAATGAAAACGCTATTATTTATACAAAATGATGCGCCTGCTATGGATTTTGGCGGCAAGTAACTGGGAAAGTTGCATCTTGATCCCTTAGAGTTTGATATGTTGAAAAAAAGTGCTCAAAATTCAAAAGAATTCAGCAATAATTTGGGGCAAAATGTTTCCTTATATAATTGCTTTGATTATTTAATGAAATTGAAAAAAAAAATTGAGTTCCTCTTCTGTGCAACCAAGATTTAAAAACCCCAATTTTTTTCCAACAGCAATTTAATAAGTATATTATAATTAAGCATTAAAAAATTTACATGACAACTCAAATTTCATTTTACCATGATCCTCCTGGACTAGTTTTAATGGTTGACATGAGTTTACCCAATAATATACTCCCTCCGTCCCATAATTATTATCCAGTTTGGGTTTTTTTTCAAATTTAAATTGTACTAAAAGTGAAATCTCAAATTGTACAATAATTTTGAGACAGAGGAAGTATATCAAATGTTTTCTAGTATTTTAAGGAATGTAACACAAAAATGTCAAAAAAAATTTCTAAATTAAATTTCTATCTACTTTTTTTTAAAGCTGAACTAGAGTGGTATCTGGTGGACATCCCGATTTTATTAAATATAAATGAAATTACAGTATCATTTAGAAAAGGTTTACATAGATTCGAATATTCTTGCACTTTGAATGGGCAATTTTTCCTCTGGTGACCTTTTTAAGGGTTGGAAGAGCATTATCTTACAGAACTGAGAACAATATCAATTTCTATATACTCAGGATTGATCATCACCTTTCAAAGAAGCATTCATCATTAGCAATTTAGCATTCTTGAAAAAAGAGGGCCGAATTTGCCAGACTAACGTGGCCAATGTAATAATAATAATGCTTGCCGTTGCCTATCTAAAACTCAAACCTTCCCGGAAGACCTCTCAAAGATTGTTTGCACGTTTTCTATGGTAGTAAGTATATCTCCTCAGTTTAGAAAAATAATTCATATTAAAATTTGTAATTTATTATACTCTCTCTGTCCCAAAATTATTGTCTAGTTTTAAATTTCACTTTTAGTACAATTTGAACTAAAAATAAAAACTCAAACTGGACAATAATTATAGGACGGATGGAATCTTAATTTTAGTATACTTTTATATAAATTACGATTTAGACAATCTTTATGGAATATAAAAGGTATTTCTTTAGTTACCTCCTTTTTCTGAATTTCTAGATAAGTCATTATTACACACTACACAACCAAAAAAAAAAAAAAAAACCAAGGTAAAATGGTATGAGCCTGACAAATTTGAGAAAACTCTAGAATGATGTAAAACTAAATTAAAATCTGATTATCGGCTATGAAAACTACCATTCCTGGGTGTTTTAAATCTACAAAAATTATGAACATGAGCTACAATTATAGTTCCTTCAATCAGCAAACTGAGAATGTCTAATCTGAAACTGGCCATAACTTTCCTATTATTAACATAATATGGATATCAACCGTCGTCGTCGTCGCATCATCATCATCATCATCCATAATTCCAATGTTACTATTGTTGCTAGCTTTGACAAAATTGATGAGGTAACTTGGCTGGCTGCACCATGCACCTCGTTCTAGCTTCACTACTTTCTCGCGTGGAATTTTCTTTTCGCAAAATGCACCAGCCCTAACTGCTCATTGCAATGCAAGACTTGATTGGGAAATGATGACATTTGCTAGTTCTTCATTTACTTTGACAGTGAGAGGTGGCATTTGCTTCATTACATATGGTGGCTCATGCATTCTGCAGCATAACATGTAAAATAAAATACAGGTCTGTTTAGTGTACATGTCTGAATCTTGCAAAGATGCAATATCATGATTCAAACTGCAAAGGGGTTCAAAGAAGAATAGGCAATCCGAGTTCTGAACTCTAGTAAATTCGTCACAGTACCAGAACGAAACCAGAAATATAAGGGTCTGAAATTTTACAGCTAAATCAAAAACAGAAATCACTCAAGATGTATATGAACAAATTTCAGATAACCATGTACTCTGGTCTACTGTGAACGGGAAGATAATTCTTTAGGTAACAGCTTGCCCTGGATACAGATTTTAACATTAACTTTGACAAAGGTAGCAGCGATTCCAAAAGTCAGATCTCAGAATACAAGAAATTGATTCGCAATATTTAGTTCCTATAAGTGACATGGATTTAAATGATAGATAAGCTGTCTCCTATGCTAAATAAACTCTCTTGGTTAAACAAAATGGTAAGCTTTTTGAAGTTCTCATTCAAGTGGCTGGTCAGTGTGTCACGTTTTATAAAATTTATTCTCCATCCTTCGCATGAATAAGGACTATATATAGTTAGTCATTAGGAATATACTGAAAGCATCGGCCCACCCTGTCAGATTACTGGACATAAAACAATGTGCCGTATTCATACAAATACTAATGGATACTTCATTTGACAATACTGCATGCTGGAAAACAAAATGAGCACAGGAAAGCATAAAACAGTGATACAACATGGTATAATAATTATAAGCTTCGGTAGATTTCCATATGAAACAACAGCAAATTGAGTCATGAAAGGATGTTGCATACCTCTTCAAAACCTGGGAGATGTTATCCCGTGCTTGACAGAAGAGGCCAATGTTGTTCTGTATCTGAAAAAGAAAGGAGAGAGTTACAGCTAAGAAATAAAAATCCAATCTAGAATGGGTAATGAATGTGAGGGAGATCAATCTTCACTCTCATATAGAAGCATTATTTTAATGCATTAATGTCTACGATAACAATAAATCCCAATGACAGTGGAATAATAGACGACCAACTATTTTCTGAGAGAACTTTAGTAAGCATTAAAATATTACTACGAAGTTGGACAAGAAAATTGAATATTCACCTTGGAAATGGTTCAGGTCTTCCTAATAGGTAAAACGGAAGAATTTCCTTGCAAATGAGCTAATCACAACAGCTTTTCTAACAATGACAATTGTGAAGTAGCAACTGACTTTAATTATAATTGTAGTTGAATAATTTTGGATACTAAACTGGTGGCATAAAATGATTAAACACACTCCTCAGTGGTCAATATATCATTAACAATAATATCTGTAAACCTAGACAATCCAAAATCATGCACTCTCTACCACAGGGGGATCTAACTAATGTAGGACCATCTGAGGCTGCTACTTTGTACTCTAGCATGAAAGATGGTTCGAACCTCTCCTGTTGTCTAGAATGTTTCGTCAGTAGTAAAACAGAGAAAGTCTTTCAATCACACCAAACATTCCTCAAAAGTCCACAACCCCATTTGGCACCAAGAAAATTAGAAGCACAGTATTCAGTCTACCGCCAACTGTCCCAGTCTTAAATGATGAAGATCTGTTCAACCCTTCCTGGAGTGTAGTTCCCAGCTACACCTCATATCTCTTCAGGAGTAATAAGATTAAAAGTAATATCTAACTACCCAAAGAGGCATGCAACCTAGGATGATAATCTGTAATATTTAAATCAATTGTAAGGTTTTTTTTTTTTTTTTTTTGAGAAAATATCACTTGCAAGTGACTTGACCTAAAAAGTAAATTAAATTGGCAAGCAACTGACCTGGAAGGAGGCTAAATTTGCATGTATTTGCTCAAAAGTCTGAACATTCTGCCTAAGAAGCTCTTGAGTAAAATCATCAATAGCTGAGAATCACAATCCATATGTTGGTTGATAAACATCAAGATTATGAAATAGTATAAACATTACAGATGAACTTTCACAAGAGGTTGATTGCACCACACAAGATGGTTCATGCTTTTAAAGACCATGTGCATGTTTCAGCTTGAAAAGAAACCATTTACCAGACAAAGTCACAGTCAAATAAGAGAAAAGAGATCATAGGAAATAAATAGATAAAGTACTTTCCTCCCTAGGCCAAGTCCACAAAAGCATAGGCTTCATAATCCTCAGAAATTTAAGTTCAACAAGAAACGGAGTGAGTTTGAATTCATAAATCAAGAATGGGACCCTATATGGTACAGCTTCTCTCCCATGCACCGTCAGGCTTATCATACTTTCATGCAAATTCAAATAACTTCACTTTTGAACTTATATTGCTTAGTCAGATAACATTAGTGAAGAATATATTCCACCCATCCCCTTCTCAATTCTAGCTCTTCATAAACCCACCAACAAGACACCAAATTAAGGACTGTTTTTCCATGAACTAATATTCTTTAATCCAATTCAGAATCCAATAGAGAATAATGTTTCTGTTGAAACAATGACACCTATGATGAAAGGGCATATAGTCATGTTCTTGGTAGTCTTTTGGAGAGATAGAATTCATGGAACCATCAAAACAAAGAGTAATCTGAATACTTGATTGAAGAAAAAGCACGCTTGAAGAAATCTAAGACATCCCCCATACTAGACCAACAAAAGACACAATTCTTAAGGATTCCAAAACAACTACAATTACTCTTGGAGCACATAGAAGAAACCTGGTTGCATGACTGCTTTAGATGGAGTGGCAGAATTATTAGTCACTTTTTCCTGCAAACAGAATAGAAGAAAACTTTACGCATCAGGCAACCAACCAACCAACTGTGCAAAGAGGGTCCATAGACAGATAGATTAAAAAATTTTCTCATCTCTTTTTGTGCAATGCACCTTATCATTAAAATAGAGCACAATACATGGATTCTACGGCAATCATAGATTTCTAACAAGTCGATTCAGCCTGTCCTAAACATTCAAATCTGGACCATACCAAGGAGTATGATTTCTTGATTGTCATTCACAAAGTGCACGCCTGGGACTGCATTTGAATTGAGATGCTGGCACTAAGGATTATGAGAAGTATATCTTGATCCCAAACTACAATATCAAGAGCTAATCCAAGTGGAAACACAGCGTACTTGCAGCAACCAGTGCTGGCATGCTAATTCTGGTCATCTAAATCCTAAAGACTCTAATCCAGTTAAACGTGTCAGAAATACACATAATTGGTGAATGAATAAATTAACAACATTTTTTTGTCTTGAGACAGTACTATCCAGTCCGAAAGCATAGCTTCGCTACCAAAAGTCTTTATGCATCCAACTTTTGAATTCTTTGCTACAGAATGTACACTACATAAATGGATTCAAAAATACAGATAGTAATACATCCATGGCGACTTCACTGACTACTTTTACTTGAAATTTCGTATTCAAAGCCCTAAATAGCTAACTGGTCAGCAGTTCCTGCAAAATGCCCAATTGAAGCTCAACTGATAAAATGGAAGTTAGTGATGATTTTAATTAAAGATAAGTTTCCAGAGTAATCCTTATGGAAAGGAACATTTTTATTGCTCACAATGTGAGTATTTTACATAGTAAATGCACAAATGCAATTGCAGAAGCACAAATTTGGTGATATTTTGCATTTGGAATTGGTGTAGAATGTACATGTCAGATATCATGAAATGCATTCAATGTGGACAGATGTCTTGCCATATACAAGATACGTACAAAACATTGGGTAACTTTTTTATCATCGAAAAAATCATAATTAGAGTATCACCCTGCAGAACTAAAAAATGCTAAAGAAGTACTCCCTCTATCCCACAAAAATAATCTACATTGTAAATTGACAATTACACTAAAAAAGAGTACAATTCAAAAGTTACAATGTGGACTATTTTTCTGGGACGGAGGGAGTTAATTTTATAGTTATTTTACCAAAATTACAAACATATTCGATGGAATTCCTTTCTTCAGCTTAGTACTAAAATTACACAAGAAACATGTGATAGCCTTTTAGCCTTTTAAGAACTGAAAGTAGTAAAATTACGCATGCAACATGGGATAGCCTTTAAGGGCTAAAGGAATAGTGACACAGTCATAGACATCAGAGCATAGAAATGAATTAAATAGATACAAAACAATCAAGGGATATGAAGCAAAATAGCAATACAAAGACAGATTTCTCACCTTTCGTTCTTTATTTTTCCTTGACAAATTGAGATCCTCTTTCCTTCTTTTAGTTGGATTTTTCTGTAAATGAATCAGTAGATTGTTTGAAATCAATGTCAAATTTTAAATCTACCATTCAAGATTCAGGCAGTATAATATACTGTAAAAACAAATATGTGGTCCAATTTAACCACATATTTTTCCACAGTCTAATTGGTAGGAAACTGCAACAACAGATGTTCAACCACACGATTATTTTCACATTTTCATATATATGTCGGTAATACATCAAACCAGATTTACAAAAGATGGTAACAAGGGGGTGCAACACTGGTACCACATCAAAACTCACCATCATCCACTTGTAGCGCAAAGCAACATCTCGGACTGTTTTATTCTTCAGGGACACAGCAATTTTAGCATAACGAACCACGTTTGTTTCATTAGCATATCTGCAGATGATTTAAAATTATTGTAAGAGAATAATCATGTTTCTAACAACAGAATTGGGTTAGCTAAATTGAGAGACATCACTTTGAACTTGTTCATTACACCAGTTAACAACAACCCGTACACACGTTGATTCCAATAAATCGAGTCAGCTACATGAACTGTAATTCTTCATTAATGTCCTATTTTACATATATCTCTTATCCCCTATATGTCGAGTACGATGAAATGCAACAAAATTCAAACTAGGCTCCAATAGTTGCTCCAAGTTCACGTTAAGTGAAACCACTTGAAGTATAACTTAGTCCTTCAAATATATGAGAAGACAAATATCTCAAGAGATGTCTTGCCCATAGAATCAATATCTTTAATAAGGGCAGGTAGGTTTCATCGATACACACAACCAATGGAATCGAGTACAATTATGAAAAAACAAAAGTTGAAGAGGAGAAACTCCTGTGATCAAATCTCACATCAGTGATTAGGAGAATGATAAGAATCAACATGATCACAACCTAATAAAAAAATCCGGAACTGACTGAACAAACAGACTCGCTGACTCGGTGACGGAAGTAACTGATTCACCACTAATTCGACAGCTTGTCAAGAAAAACTATTAGCTGATCGATTCTAAGAAGAACTTTAGCTGAATTGACCGTTTTTAACATGAGTAAATAGATTCTGACCTAAAGGAAATGACAGATTCTGACCTAAGTAAAAATAAGCCAGCTAACATTTGAAACAAGTCCTATCAACAAGAACCACCTTCCCCATTCCTATTCCCCTTTCTTCCAAAAAAAAATCAAATCAACCTATCAAAAATTTTAAAACCACAACTTTTGATCAAGCACAAACAAAAATACAACCTCCACAAATCAAAAAAACATAAACTAAAAAGGAAACAACTACACGAATTGAAACGGTAACCCAAAAAAAAAGGACAAAAGAGGCATCAAGAATTTAAAAATTGAAAAAAAAAAGAAGCAAGGAAAAAAAAAGGCACATACTGAACCAATCCTTCGTCAAGAATGGCCTGCTCTTCCGGGGTCCAGTCCATTGACACTCCATGCAAACTAGGCTGGAACCTGGTTGCAGTAGCCTCACTAGAACTCTCAAGAACTCCGGGAACCAATCCTTTCCCATCGTAGCCAACTACAGACGAAGAAGAAGAAGACGGTGGCTGAATTTGTTGAATTGACGGTGAAGACATTGATCCTCCGCCACCACTAACATCACCACCGCCACCGCCACCCTGCTGTTGATGATGATGATGATGATTAAATTGCTGCTGATGATGATGATTATTATTAAGCTGATAACTCATTTGCTGAACCGGAAATCCGGGTTCTTGATTATGTTTCATCATACTAGACGAATTATTGGCCATCCTACCAAAAGAATCATGCAGCAAAACCAGAAAAGAGCTCTACCCGAAATACAAAAAAAAAACAGAACAAAACAGGGGATATGGTTAATGAAATTTTGGTTATTGGGTTTTGTGTATGGAGTAAAATTATTGATTTAAAAAAGAATCTGTATTTGGGAAATTCATGTTCTTGGGGAGTGCGTGAGTGTGTGTTTTTTTTGGTGGGAATGAATGAGCTGGATTGGAAATGGAATGATGCTTTAAGGGGGCATTTTAAGCTAATAACTCTAGAGAGAGAGAGAGAGAGAGAGATAAACAGAGAGGCAGTGTGTGAGTGTGTGAGAGAGAAAGAGAGGGAATCTCAGAGAAAGCAGCACGTAGTCAGTAATATTGGAAAAGGAAGATTTCTGGAAGTGATAAAATACCAAATGAAATCTAATTCTATATTCTGATGGTCTTTTGTTGTTAGTAACTGTTGGCATTTAATGGGACTCTTAATACATTTTTTGAATTAAAATTGGCTTAGTAAAGTGGAGTACACTAATTCTAATTTAATGCTATATATTAATTAATAATAGTAGTTCTACTAAGTACTATTCCCTTCATTCCAAAATAAGTGTCGTTTTGGCAAAATGGAGAAATTCCAAAATAAGTGTCGTTTTCGGATTCCAATGCATTTTTTGTCAAAAATTTCCAAACATACCTTCAAAAGAAATAATATTATTGGCGAACATTTATTTTAATGGGGTTGGTTGAGGATATTCTAGTAATTTAGTTACTTTATTTAATTTTATGTGCAAACTCTAGAATGACACTTATTTTGGAACGGAGGAAGTATTTTATTTTAATAAATAATTTTCACTTTCTTGCAGTGAAAATAATTGAATTTTGTAGTTGGATAAAAAAAATTTTAAGATGATGTTATGTGACCAGATAACTTTTCATAAATTTGTATTTAGGTACAGAAATATGAAAACATAAATAAACTTGGTGAATCTTTCATATTTTTGTTTTGTGAAAAATTACGATTATATGAATACGATAAATGATTTTACTGTTCCTAATAAAATACTATAAAAATACTATAGAAATACTATCTCTGTCATAAAAAAAAATAATCCACATTGAGTTTTGTTATTAATATTGTTTTTAGTACAAATTTAAAAATCCGATATTGACTAGCTTTTTTTTTTTTTTTGAGAGAGAGATGACGTATAATAATATCAACCGAAGAAATTTCTTTTATTTGAGTTTACTACTAATTGTTTCAACCCATGAAAATACATATAACAAAAAATAGAAAGATATGTAACTTTCTTTTGAATAAAGTATTTCCGATAAATAGCTCCGGAAGTGTTAAATCATTTCATGGAGTATACATCTCATTGCCAACTTCCAATGGTCAAATCTATGGGTAACAATTATGTACATTTAGGAGTGTTTTGGAGTATGAAATGCATAGCTGGTAACTTAGAAGGGCAGTTCTTATTTTGAGTTCTGCGCCTTTTAAATACAGCTGATGTGCATAATTTGCGAACTTATTTTGTGATTCGAGCTATAAAAGTTTATCATTTACCTAAAATTAAAAAAAAAAATTTATGTTAAACCTTGAGCGACATTGTGCTTAATTTTTTTTTTTTTTTTTGGGGGGAGATATAAGGGATGGAGATTAATGTTATTCCATATTGTAATGTTAAAAAAGCATATATATACACAGTCGTATGATCATACATAAGCTTAGTGAGAGTGACTCTGCGAGACCAAATTATATTGTAAGTTGTCTCTGAATTAATATTATATAGTATTTCATTAAAAACAAAATAGATGCTTGAAAATAGTTCTTTATTGTTGTTAATATTAGAAGAAAAAAGAGGAATGATACTCAAAACACTACCCTACAATGTTGTGATACTCCTACTATACCACTTAACATCATTTCCAAAATACTCTGTTCCGTTCTTATTATAAAGCATTTTAATTTATATTAAATTTTAACTAGTATATTTTTCTAATTAAAAAAAATCTTAAAAATATTTTATAATAATTAAAAGAACACAAAATATGTGAAAATATAAGTTTAAGATTTTTTTTTTACAATTGCAAAAATATACTAGGTGAAACCCTTACAATAAGGACTGAAGGGAGTACAAAATAGTGAGCGATTTACCAAATGTATAACTATTTTCGTAAGAAGTTGCATATGATCGATGTCAAAAATCCATAAAAAATTCCCCTCTTACATCTAATTAAAATTTTTTGAAGATTTTCCATATTCTTCACATTAGCTAATTTTAACTCTTAATCATTAAGAAAGAAAATATAAAAAAAAATATATAATTTCAGGTTATGTGGCCTCAGCCTCTTTCATGTTACCAAAAAAAAAAAAAGAAAATGTATTAGTTGTACTTGAAAAAATAATATCTTTCGAAAGATAAAAATAAAAAATTTAGGTATGAATCGGATAGTGTCCAAATAACATTTTAAATTTTAACGTACATATAATTAGCTAACATTAATTTTGGCATCCTCTTAAGTAGTTCGTATGTCACTCTCTCTCTCCCCTTCTTAATTTAAAAAAATCTACTTTATTAAAATAAATACTTCCTATGTTCTAAGATTATTGTTCTGAGATTTTATTTTAAGTGGATAATAATTTTAGGACAAATGAAATACAATACACTGAGTGAATTATTTTACTTTTAGGTCGACTTAAAATAAATAAATGAAACCAAATAAAATATTCACGCATGTATATTTTATTTATTAATAATCAACAAACGCACATCATATTCAATTTGGTCATGTTCTTTCTTGTTATTTTTTGGGGACCCCATTTTCTTATGTCATTTTTTTTAATAAATTGATGTCAGCATTATTACCATACCTATTGGTTACTTCTGTCCTGAAAAAATAATTCGTGCAAAATTAAAAATTCAATGTGAATTTGTGTTTTTTTTAGACAGAAGGAATATTATTAAAGCACCAAAAAAAATGTTAGATAATGACTTAAGTATTATAGAATGAATCGTAGAATTAATAAGGCTTAATTTTATCTTAAAGACTTTATATCGATTCTGGCTAACTAACTAAACATGAAAACTAGAACTACTAAGATATATATATTAGGATTGTGCACGGATTGGTTTAAACCGGTCAATCCAATCAATCCGGACCACAATTTGGATTTTGGATTGGTTTTAAACCTTTATTTTGAAACCGGCGGTTTCAAAATTTGAAAATAGGAAGGAATGGTTAGGTTTACGGTTTCATGTTCAAAATCCGTAGGCTAAATCGGACCGGACCGCTTATATTACTTATATTATATATTTTAGAATCTCTATATATATAAAAATGCGCAGTATTATTCACGATTTGTGACATATAATAGACTTGGTTAATTCAATATCATGTTTAGTCATAGCTTCAAATTTCGATTCCCTTAAACCTCTCTTCTTAAGTTGTTTTTCTACCTTTTCTTATATATTTTTCTTTTGGTTTTCAAAAACTCTCATCCTGCATTTTTCCCCCTTTCTTTTTTACAATATTTTTTTGTTGCATCTTAAAAGCTTTTCCGGGTGTTTTATTTTTTTTTTTAACTTTCTTTAAAATATTTTTTTGGGCTTTCGAAAGTTAAAGCATAACTATTTGAATTCTTGTTCAGTAAACTATAAAACCAAAACCTACCTAAAATAAGTAAAAATGCTAAGAGATTCAAAGTTTTCGACCGTTAGTTTTTTGCATGCGTTGAATTGAAATTAGTAGAAAAACGTTTTGTTTTTTCTGTTGCAAATTTTAAAAAATCTCTCTTTTGTTAAAAAAAAAAAAAAAAACTCAAAGTGAGAGCAAAACCGTGTAACCATAAAAACCAAACCGTTGATTACGGATTGGTTTGGTCCGGTTTCCTAGTGTGGAACAATTTGGTTTTGGATTCAAAATTTTTCAAACCGTTCTAACGGTTTAGTTTACTGTTTAAACTAAAAACCGGACCACCCACACCGTGCACACTCGTATAATAATATATATATATATATATATATAAACGTACATATAAAATATATATGTATATATATAATTACTAAACTAATAATATGAATTATCGATAATATTTAAGTATTTATTTAGTGTCAATCAGTACGCGTTTCAGGCAACACTTAGCGACAACTCCAAATAAATAGTACTTGTGATTAATCCTCACTTTTTCTAAAATTATTTCAAAACTGGAAGTATGGATATATTTAAAAAGACACTACACACGAATACATTTTAAAAATAAAAGTACTTTTGAATGATATTACTATGCCCTCAAGGTGATCTTATGCGCCTTAGGGTGTATTCGCTGAGTGACTTTTTGTCTGTCTTAATTGCTTGATAAACGTGGAACTTTATGTGGCTATAAGCCATATTTGAATTTATATATGCATGCTTAAGGGCCCGAGGCGACTAGTTGAGCAAATGTGTCATGAGCCGGCATAGGGCTTGGTCATGTCCGTTGCCAACAGTAGCTGTTCAGGATTCTCTTGAAATATCCGGTCGCGACATGGTGTGTTGGGTGGAAATTGAGTTTAATTGGTACCTTGTCAGAAAGAAAGGTCGCTCCTTCTGATAGCTTATTAGGTGTTTATGGCCTGACTGGAATTAACGGAAATGGCTAGGGTTAGGGTTTAACCATTTCTGCCATATCGGCTTTTGGATAAACTCTTTCCATGACATTTTAAAAGTTGTTTCTATTAATTGCTTATGTGGAATAAAGTGCTTTTATCTGATCTGTGTTTTTATTTTGAAACGTTTGATTATTTCTGTTTCAAAGTACATATTTCTAATAGTGTGGACGTCACTGAGCATAGCGCCAGCCCTTTTATTTTATATAAATATCCCTCTCATAGCTGAGTTACGAGGAAAGTAGAGTATGATGGATTATCGTACCTAGGGGCGCTTATTATAGAGTTGTAACGATAGTCTTTAGGTTGCAATAATGGTGGGGTTATGATTGTATCATCTACTTTGTTTCCGCAAATAAGGGACCTGTATTAGTGTACCAATTGGCAGTTGCTAACATCTAATAAAATATTTTCTTTAATCTCTGTTACGACCCTTTTGCTTAATAGCTTTAGCAGTTATCCAAAGAGGTAACACCCTGACTCATCGATCTAGAATTATTTTGATAAGCATTTAACATAAAAAAAAAATCGATAAGCCGAGGTGGTTACAGGTGGTATCGAAGCATAGGTTCGCATAGAAAAGTAAGTTAGGGTAGAATTTAAGCTTTAAAAGGTTTAGTGAGTACCTTGATAGAATATTGGTTCAAGATATTTGTGACGCTTAAGTTTGAACTGACGTGATTTTGTGATTTTGTAGGTTATGGAGCGTAGGCAACCTAGTCAGCTAGTACGTGTAACCGTATCCATTCCGGTTGCGCTTCACCAAGTTCACATCACCAATGAAGTCACGCAGCCAGCTCGACC